TCAAAAATGCATACACCCATATATGCTCGTCGGAAGACGAGGCAGCGTGCCAGTGCCCGACAAAATCTCTCTGTTCACGCGGCACGCCCACAGCGAGAAGGGACACGAGCCAGTTCCGTTCCGACTGCTCAGTCCAGAATCGCAGAGACTCCTCCGCATCGAAAAGGAAATCCACTGCTAACACCCATCGGTCTTCCTGTTGCACTGGAACTCGGAGCATGCGCCAGACTGACTTTGTCAAAGCCACTGTCTGGGCCTAGTCTGCCATGATTCCGACGCACGCCTGAGCGATCCCTGTTTGGTAGTGGCAAGAAATAATCGCGCTCGAAACACATGCCCTCGCGATTCCGAATCTCCCAGCCTACACTTAGCCAGTTTGGCACAGCAATGAAGGCATGACAGCTGACAAAGACAGGAAGGTAGCGGATCCGCTTGCCTGGCCCACTAACCTTTGTGCGATCCAACACACCTTGTAGGCCCAAAGAAGTTAAACGTAAGGTGGAAGGGTTCAGACCGGAAAGATCACTAGTGCGACAAGCAGATTTAATACTTTATAAAAAGCAAAACCACGCACATACAACTCTGCATCCTCGCTGGTCACTAGCAACTCCAGCGACACAACTGCAGCGATTGGCAGCATAGGAGCCTGTCGCTTCGGCTCAGCACCAGCCTCGAGCTCCGCAGTACACTGGTTCACAGTGTTCTTGACCATCTGCATGTCGGCAAGTCGCTCAGCCGCAGGGACGGCACCAGCCGTTTCAACAAAGCTCAAGCAGCACAGAATATAGCAGTCGGGACCGTTCGCGCGCAGGGCTCCAGTCGACGCTCATGCAGGTAATCTAGGAGGACGCCCACGTGGCGTGGCCACACCGATCTCGAACTGGCTAAACAGTACGCGCGGAGCTTACGAAATTCGCGCACATGCTTCCTGATCGTAGAGGCGCGCGCTGAGCCCAGAGCAGATGATATTGCAGTGTCTGGATTGCTGGCCAAGCTTGCTTGGGCGCACGCGGGCAGCTCGGCTTCACGAAGGATAGCTACCAGCTCGCCTCTCCAGCGAACCAGTTCCTGCTGCTCGATTTCTTTACGAAAAACTCCATCTTGCGCTGCCGCCAAACGCCGGGAGCGCCTAGTCGGCCATACTCCCCGACGCTTGATTGCCCCTGCATTTCGAAGCCACGCCGTAGTGAAAGCTGCAGCTGACGCCTCGACTCGGCGAAGCTTGTTGACGCGCACCACCATGCCTTGAATCGGCACAGGGACCAACGCCCTGCGTTTGTGGAGTCGAGACGCTTCCAACTCAGCCTTGGATTTCAGTGCTGTCAATGCCGCACTTACGTCAGCCAGCACTTCGGGCTCACAGCAACTACCAGTCGCCAACAACATCTGTTCCAAGTCCAGGTTATCCTCGAAGAGGTTTGCGAGGATGTCACAGCAAGGCATGTCTCCTCCAGCATCCCCAAAGAGCAGCTGCAAGCGCCGAGGAAGCGAGGTCCACAGCTCAGCCATCACGCAGAGCACACAAATCGAAAATGCACACAAGTCGCA